TTCCAAGTGTTTTAAACCAAACGGTTGTTGACCGGACTTGTTATGTTGACCGGATTTATTGAGCGGACTTGTTGACCGGATTTGTGATAATGTTTTGTATTTTTGAAAGAAATTATTATTTTATTATAAAAATAAAGTTTTGATATAAATGTTTTCAGACTAATAATAATTCCAATGACTGAGGTCTATTCGGAATTATTTTATAAATGTTTTGATGAAGTGATAAGGGTGGCATATCAAGGAGAGGTGTCCATTTGATATAATGGTGGCATATCAAGGAGAGGTGTCCATTTGATATAAGGGTGGCATATCAAGGAGAGGTGTACATTTGATATAAGGGTGGCATTGTCTGTGTGTGATATTATATAACACTTTCTATTATATATCCCTTAAGACTACCGTGATCTAGAATCTTTATTTCTTTGTGATTTAAAGATTTAGGATCAAGGTTCTTATTGGAAATCATAGTCTGTATGTTATTGAGAAGGAAACGTCAGGTTTGGCCTGAATCTTTGTTTAAACCTTAATTGATAAAGAAACGGTTTAAAATGGTATTAAATGGAACCCGATTGGTTCAAATATATGAAGTTTGTATAACTACGTGGTTGGCTTGAAAGTGGATAAGGATTTGATATTACCTTCATGTATATTCATATATTTGTGATATATGTGAATAATTGTTTTATAAAGGTTTTGGTGATCCTCCACCCTGCAATTACATGATTAGGGTAACTCACTAGACTTTTCAGTCTAACCCTCGTTTTGTGATTTTAAAATGTGTATTGCAGGAGGAATAGAAGGTAAAGGAAAGGAGAAGATTTAATGTTTTTATTATATGCATTCGACTGCAGAATTGCTTTTGATGATTAGTTTTGTTGTTTAGTACAAGATATGTATTTTGAATTTTTGGACCTTGTATTTGGTCATAATAGTATTCTTGTACTATGGGACCCAGATGTATATGAATATATATTTCTTTGGTATGAAATATGTGTTACATGCAATGTGTGGGTTGGGGCGTTACATCTGATTATAATTTTAACTCAAATTACCATAATTATTAATTTCCTAATTTATCTGTTGATTTGTGGTTTAGATTGGATCTCACAATTACCACAAACTAATCAGTTCTCATTTAATTAAGCCCCTATATATATATATATATATATATATATATATATAAACGTTCAAATAAAAACCACTCAATTTATACAAACCGTGAAAACCTCATTCAATCGATCATAATTTTTCATTTTGTTCATTTTTTTTGTAATTATGAGAGGTTGATTAACCATTTTTATTGTGCATGGTGTTAATCATGGATATTATCATCTTCATTATTTTAAATTTAGAGAAATACATGAAACAGTTTCATTAAAATTTCATTAAATATTATATGAAACAATTTCATAACCATATATGAAACAAATTCATAAAAAAAAGTATTATATGAAACAATTTCATGAAAAAATTTCATTAGATTAAACAATGAAATCGACGTATGATGGTAGTTTGTACGATTTGTACAAATGAGGGTGGTTTTCATTTGTTCGCTCATATATATATATATATATATATATACTTGGGATCATGTGAGACCAATGGTTTTTCGTGAGACCCGTAAGATCAATTATCAACCATTGGATAAGATTTACAATCTAAACATTCATAATCACAAAATTGCCACCATGCAACTTTAGACCATTAAATCATTAGCTTATAAAGTTGATCAATGAACATAAATTGGTTTTACGAGTCTCACGAAAAACCTTGGTCTCACGTGAACCAACTATATATATATAGGGTTGGGTTCACGTGAAACCAAAGGTTTTTCGTGAGACCCGTGAGACCAATTTATATTCATTGATCAACTTTATAAGCTAATGATCTAATGGTCCAAAGTTGCACGGTGGCAATTTTGTAATTATTGAGAAATCTCGTGGCAATTTTGTGATTAAGAATGTTGAGATTGTAGATCTAATCCAAGGGTTGGCAATTGGTCTTACGGGTCTCACGAACAAGCGTTGGTCTCATATGATCCCAAGTCTATATATATAGGTGGGTTATGGGTTATTATACAACACTTTACATTTGTACAACCAATACAATCCAATCTTAACCGTCCATTTAAATTGATGAATATGTGATTTCATAGAAGTTTTGATTGTTTCCTAATATAAATTATTGATCATAATTAATGAACCCTATTAATCTTTCATAAATATTCAAATCATAATAAATGAACTCCCATCATTTTTATAAATATCTCAATTAATTGGGTTGTATTGGTTGTACAAATGAACATGGTTCTATTTGAAATATACTATATATATATATATATATATATATATATATGTAGGAGCAATAAAATGCAAACCACTCATATTTGTACAAAACCGTGCAAACCATCATTATCCGTTAGTTTTATTGTTTAATTTAATGATTTTGTTTTATGAAATTGTTTAATATTATGAAATTGTTTCATATAATACTTTTGTAGATGAAATTGTTCCAATTGTTTCATATAATACTTATGAAATTTTTAATGAAACTCTTTCATGTATTTTTTTTTTTAAATTAATATAATGAAGATGATAATATCTATGATTAATACCCTCTACAATAAAAATGATTAATCAAGCTCTCATAATTACAAAAAATGAAAAAAAATATGATTGGTTGAATGAGTTTTGTAGTGTTTGTACAAATAACATAGTTTGCAATATAAACCTCCTAAATATATATATATATATATATATATATATATATATATATATAAGACAAATAAAATGAGAACCACAACAATATTACATATCCATGAGAACCGATTTTAAAAAGATTTTTTATATGAATTTTTTAATCAAATTCTAGGATCTAAGATATTGCTTTAATCCAAGATGAACGCTTTTTTCATTCGCTATAAGCTGACTCGATGAGATTGATCGAGGAAATGCCAAAGCCAAGGCTCACTTTCTCTCTTGCGCTAGTCACATATATTTGTTTCATAATGTGATAATTTCACATGTATTTATTTCACCACGTAAATATTTTTCATGTATTTTTTGTTTCACCAAGTGAAACAGAAAAAAAAGTTTAACATATAATTTGTTCATAATATGAACACAAACATATATGAAACAATATTTTAAATCATCGTTTTTGATGAAAAAAATCATATAAAAAATATTTTTATGTCGATTCTCTTGAGTTTATAACATTTTTGTGGTTCTCATTTGATTACCGCTATATACGTATATATATATATATACACACACACACACACACATATATATATATAGGGGCCTAATCAAATGAAAACTAATAGTTTGTGGTAACTGTGAAGTCCATTATGAACCAATCATTTTAGACAATTATTGTTATTTATTAAAATAAAACAAAAGGTAAATTAGTAAATTGTGTTGATTATTCAATTTACTTTAATTAGTTTAATTATTTTAATATATGTATATATACACACACATGGACGCACATTGACCAAATCTGCTGGCCTTCTCCGGCACCCACCACCACTCCGGTGACTTCCTCCGGTCATGTTGCAGGTATCACAATGGTACCACAGTTGGAATCACAATGGTCTCAAAGTTTACGTGGTGTGTTTTGGGTATCACATTGTATGTATTTTGGGTATCACATTGTGTATCTTGGTGTATTTTGAGTATCACATGGTGTTCGTTGGAGGCCGGAGATAGGAGAGAGAGAGAGAGAGAGAGAGAGAGAGAGAGAGAGAAGATATAAAAATTTAAAAAATCTAAAATGCCTTTTAATTATGACTTTAAGTCAAATTACCAAAAATATTAGTTTCTTGATTTATATATTGATTTGTGGTTGAAATTTGATCTCACAGTTATCATAAACTAATTAGTTCTCCTTTGATTGGACCCCTATATATATATATATATATATATAATTAGTTCTCCTTTGATTGGACCCCTATATATATATATATATATATATATATAGGAGTTCAAACGAGAACACATATGTTTTACAAAAAAAAGGAGATTACTTATGGGCCTCCAAATTAATTAACCATTAATAAAAATAAGAATAAAAAATAAATTAGCATTTATTAGTATTTTTATGTTATATTATAATATAATACTTCTTATGTTGATGTCTATGCAGTCGAAAATGATGTGATAATGTTATGATTAAACTTTGATAA